TGTAATTTTAGATTGTAAAGGAGAGAATGTTTTACCTTTCTATCTTGGTATCCAAGCTTAATAGTTATCACCTGCTTGCGAGAGTGTAGCCGAATAAATAAAAAAACTATCGTTTTTTTTTAAGCAATGTCATTGGTTAGAAATTGAAGTTACCAACCAATATTTTTAAAATTGATTTCTTTACGTCATTCTCATGCAACAAACCTCGGGCAATTTATAATCTTTTCTGTGTTCCCAGCTAACAAAATTTTTCACCAGTAACAGCGGAGAGTGATTATGACAAGTATTGTCTTGTAGAACCAATACTACTGAGCAATATCTTGTAATTTTTGAAACTCTTTCTCTCGATGTGTGCTCTTCTAATGATAATGCTATACAGAGGACCATGGCAGCGTGTAGGGTTCAAGGAAAAATGCTTTTTATTTCATGACTTTGAAATTTAATCAGTTATATATATTTCTGGAGCAACGAAAATTGAAATATTCAAAAGGTTTTGCAGCTAAAGTTCCATTAGCAACCAACAACCTTTTTCTTTTATACCAAAGTTTATGCTCTTCGATTTCATGAAATGATAGGAACTGACCTGTCATAATGCTATACAGAGGGCCATGACAGCGTGCAAGGTTCAAGGAAAAATGCTTTTTACTTCATGGCATCTGAAATTTAATCAGTTATATATATATATCTACAGCGATGAAAACTGAAATATACAAAAGGTTTTGCAACTTAAGTCCTATTAGCAACCAGCAACCTTTTTTCTCTTTCATCAAAGTTTGTGCCTACTGAGCTAACCGCCGACCGGGTAGCTCAGTGGTAGAGCACCGGACTAGCGTGCGGGAGGTCGCGGGTTCAAACCCCCGGGCCGCACCAACACTTTAAATAATTGAGGAGAAAGTGCTGCCTTTGTAAAGACATCTGCAAATGGTTAGACTTTGTAGTCTTCTCGGATAAGGACGATAAACCGTAGGCCCCGTCTCACAACTCTTCATAATTAACTCTGTGGGACGTTAAAGAACCCACACACTGATCGAAAAGAGTCGGGGACGTAGTTCCCGGTGTGGTGGTCTATCTTCCTGGTGTGATGGTTAAATGCTCGGAGATATTAGCTGCATATGCTACCCTGAAATCCGAGGGTAAATAAAGTAATGTAATGTAATGTATGTATGCCCTTCGATTTCATGAAATGAAACTGACGTATTATAATGCTATAGAGAGGACCATGACGGCGTGCAAGGTTCAAGGAAAAATGCTTTTATTTCATGACATTTGAAATTTAATCAGTTACATATATCTAGAGCAATGAAAACTGAAATATTCCAAAGGTTCTCCAGCTTAAATTCTATTAAGAACCAACAACCTATTTCTCTTTCACCGGAAATCAAGCGCGAATAATTTAATTGTTTTAGTAAATTCTAACTAAAATTTCTTGAAATTTTGATTTCCGATGATTTCTCAAGGTGGTATTAGTAGTAACAATCTTTTATTAGGAAGCTCCATCACTAAAAGTGGTTTACATAGAGGTCCTAATACTAGATATATACTATATAATGATACAATTAAAATCTATAAATTAGAGCTAAAACCGAAATAAATAAATATTTACAACATATACACTACAGAGATTAAAAAAAATAAAAATAAAAAAATAAAAAAATAAAAAATAAATAAATAAAAAAATAATATAATAATAATAAAAAATAATTAATTATAAAAGACAGAAAAAAGACACTTCTTAAAAATTGGCAAACTTGCTGAGTTTCTTACAGTTCTCTCTAACTCATTGAAGTCTTTGAAACAGTGGTACCGTGAACGTTGTTTTCCCCAATTGTATTGGATTTTGGGAAGCTTTATAGTATCTTTATTGCGAGTATTGTAGGAGTGCATATCACTCTTTCTTACAATGTCCAAGGATTGATTAAGTTGGCCATTAGAACACTTGTATGCATATATACATCGATGACATTTCCTACGTTCTTCGAGATTCAGCCATCTCAAGACTGTTAATGCATCAGTGGATGAGGATTCATCCACTGATGCTTGAGCATAATCGCGCGGATTGAATTATTATTTGAAACTTGCAGTTGTACAATACCGCCCATCGCTTCATTGAAAAATAATGAGGTTTTACGCAAAACGGTCAGTTTAGTTTCCTCTAAACATTCCTCGAAACATTAGAGACGCTAGACAAGTTGCCATTATGTTGGCGATATCTAGCCTCTACACTCTAATGGCTGGTAGTATAAGAGCAGCTCAACCAATTAGATTGCAGCACTTGCTTTAGTATACTTTTAGACTTCTACAAATAGTTGATATTTGATGACTGTGGTTAGGTGTTTAGTCTGCGCACATCTAAACACTAATAACGTTATTTTGTGAAAGATCTGATAAGACCAAAAAATGGATCGATGCGGCGGTTAGTGCACTGGACTCCAGTTGGTGCGGAGTGGGTTCGTGCACTATTTGATTCCACCGATTCATACTCTTTTATAATAAAGTTCCATATAACGCCCGCTCTTATTGCTTGAAACAGCGTGCTTCATCAGAGAACAGAGCACGGGTTGATGACGGTAAGCTGGCTTTCAAACTTTTGCTTCGGAATTTTGACATATTTGACCCAAATTAAACATCCCCTATGGCCTAGACAAACGCGATGTAAAAGAGCTGTAGTAAATGTGGCTGCACGGAGAACATTGTTAACCCGTGAGTAGTATTGAAACTGTACTAAAATTACAAGTTTTGCTAGATCTAGGAAATCTAGATTTGCTAGATTTGACAACCCTGGCTTGTGGTGTAACCCGCACTGGATTTCAAGCCAATGAAAGTGGGCTTGCGAAAGCGGATTAGTTTCAGTGCAATCCACACTAAACACAAGCCGAGTCTAGATATGTTAGCTTGAGTGAGCAAACAACTCCCGTATCGCCAAGGAAACTCACTCCATCAGCTAAATAAAAGAACAAAGAACAACCAAGAAAGACATTAGGCAGTGCAGTTAATTTTCCAAATGAAATCATAAACAGCACGACAGAACGATTTTGAAATAGAAATAACTCACCTTGAACAACTGCAATTGAAAAAGATCTACAAAAGAATCCTGCCACCAAGTGACTACGCAAAAAAAAACAACAGACCATTAGGTTTAGACAATAATAGTGATGTCATAACCTGTAATGTTTCTTGACAGCATTAGAATCATAACAAGGTCGACTGTTCACTTAGTTACCTGCACAGAGTTCTGTATGTAAAAGACTTACTTATTCATGGGTTAATTCGGTTCCCTTTATATTGCGAGGCTAAGAAGATAATGAAAGATATATTTGTCTAACTTGAGTCGTTCCCACCTGGCAAAATTAATTCTAGTGCCTTCGACGGAAATCCGTCGAAGGCAGCCAAGAAGTTGGGCTTTCATCTTTCCGTTCTTGATCTTGGTGAGCTGAGGACAAAGAGATAATTATAGTCAGGGATAAGAGTTGCATACAGCTCTGTAAAAGGTAGCACTTGATGCGGAATAAGTTGTGGTGTAATGAAAAAACTTTGCCCCTACACATTTCTTGCTTACCATACACTGTATGTGATTACACTGAACTTGCATTTTGTAAACATGACTTTACTCACTTCGCTTGTAAGGGTCTCGTAATCTTTTTTCAGTTCGAAAAGGAAAAAAGAGAACGGAAGAAAAGCATTTAAATTACATAAATTTGTTTTTATTTTTAACGAATGACTGTCTCTATAGTATATTATAATTTTATTGTCGCATTTCGCTTATACCATGAAACCTCGCCTCATGGTCACCTCGTTATTATCCCTCGTGTGCATGGATGAAACGTCCTTGCACACTTAACACACGCTTTACACCCACATTTTACTTTTATTCCATGCATTTTCTGGCCAAGGACCACATTCTGAATTCCAACATGCATAATTCTTGTTAATTTTATTTAATTGTAAGTTCTCTTGATACTTCCTTAACATTTAGCGATGTGAAGTATTTCTACTCCCCTTCCCCTTCCCCTCCCCAGATGGGATGCTATTACCTCGCAGGCCTACTGCCAGCGTTAAATTCGTCAGTACTCATTGATTAAAACTCCTGGGTGTAAAGACGTACTGTGAGAGTAAAGAGTCTTTCCCAGTAGTGACACAACAAAATGTTTAAACTCACTATTAGAACAACCTGCGCAATTGCATGCAAGAGATCTGGGAACAAAACACTCTCAAACTGGCACCATATGCAAATAGAAACAGTTGCGAGCCTGCGATTTATTCTGCAAACCCTGCGTTTTGACTGGCTCCATAAGGAAGTGGTGTTATTCTTTTCTCTGACTGCAGTCACAGCATGATTGTGTCATCCTGACAAACCGTGTGCGTAACCACATTTAACCGAGAGGTATATGTTCGTCTTCTTCTGTTGTCATAGCTATTTTGTCTGATTACAAGCCTTTTGGCTGCAAAATGTACTTTTCGGAATGTTTATGATTGTAAATATGGCAGCTTTATCAATAGACTATTTGACCAATAGTTGGCAGATTTTGAACAACACTCTGTGCTGATGTTGGAACGTAGTGTGTAAAATGAATTAATTATGTGCCGGCTTATTACTATCTGTATCTTTTATTTAAAACATTTATCTTTTAACTTACTTTTCTGTCTGCGTAATCCTGATCTTGGCCTATAAGGCTTGAAATAATGAATATATTTTTAAAAATGAATTACTATAATAAGAAGTATCGCGGTATAGGATAGTCCCATTCAGATTAGCTGGTAATCCATTTCTTCAATGTTTCGGTTTGTTACTCTTGTGTGCTCTTGTCTTGTGCTAGTGAGGACGGCACAAGAGTGTCCACGTTTAGCGCTTAAGCGAAATACCCCTGACACTTTAATAACGATAATAATGTAAATGAAAAAAAAAAATACTCGATTCTGATCGGCTGAGAACAGTCCAGTTCAAGTGTAACACAGCGCAAAGAGTGTAACACCAGTGCAAATTACACATCGTAATTCTGGATTATGATTGGCATGCAGCGAGTGCAATTTCAGCTTTTTGAAAAATTAATTCCAAATTGAACGAGAAAAACCGTATGAGTACCTATACTTATTCGTTTATTCATGCAAAGCCCACTTCATTCGTGTAATGCATTTTAATTTCATAACTGATCCCGGCGGTTACTGTAAATTCTTATTTAAACTGATATACTGGTTAGTTTACGTTGCTTCTGAGAGGCTGATACAGGTAGCTAACTAAGTAGAAGCTATTTATTTGAGCTAAAGTCTAAGTGGGATAATTACAGAATTATTCTTGATATTTCTTGCCTCAAGACGCCAAATCGTAAATTCGCGGTTCACCGTCTCGATAGCCCTACAATAAAAAGAGGGGCAAAATAAGAAGAAAATATTTTTTCTTTTCTTTGCTGCCTGGGTAATTCCGTACTGTTAATTGAACAGAAGAAGAAACCGATTCGAGGAAACACAACACGGAGGTGAGACATCTTCCAAACAAATCCTAGAAAACTACAAACATAGCTTTGGCGTCTAAAAATCAACTGGTAAACCTGCCTGCAATGTTATTAAGCAATATTAAACTATGATATAGTGACTAATTGTACTAATTAATTCAAATAATTGAGTGGAGTCAGAAATGGCCTTTACCTTCTACGTTGGTCGTTCTGTTCGCTCGTCTGAAATAGAAGAAAAGTTTGAGTTTTATGATTTTTTTATTCCAACTGAAGTAGAGTAATTGTTTCGTTTGATTTTATTGTCTGTTAAGAAAAAAATATTTACAGGAGCTTCGTAAAGTTAAAAAATGACGAACGATACTGGAATAGAAACAGCTATTTCACCGCAACAGTTACTTTAGTAGAATATTCAAAGTTAAATATTAAGAATTATAATGCAAGCCGAACAACAAATTTTTGGAACAACTCTGCAAGATAGTCTTCCCTCTTAAGTATCCTCTCGTTGAAATAATTTTGACCTCTTTTAATTTGTATTTCTATTGAGTGTTTGGCGACAATTTATAGCTTTTTATCCATAACTTTTTATCAAAATGATAACGGAAGTGAGGAAATAGGTCAAAGCTTTGTAAAAATACGGTGAGATATCAGCAAGGTAGTTTATCTTTCTTTTCCATTTCCTGATTAGTGAGGATATGGAAATACGCCACTCGAGTCCCGGATGAGTCTATGACTTCGTTAACGTCAACAGATAATAAGAGTTTGTTATTATCTCAACATAAATTTCAACTCACAGCCGCTTCGTATTTTTCGACTTTTTCAGTCAGATTTTCCACTTCACTGTAAAAAAAAAAAAAAGAAAACAGATTCAGCCACTTCTTTATTTAAAGAATGTAAGTGTACGTTGTACGCAATTGCTCATTAGAACTGTACTTTTATTACAAGTATCCGATGGAAAACAAAATTACAGTTTAATAACAGGCATCCAACGATAAATCCACCTAATTCAATATTGATAGCTGAAAAGTATGGTTTAAAAACTTTAGGTTAACTATTCATCACGTCATAGCGAAAACGTATGGACACACTTTAAGCAACCACTAGTAGCATTAACTTGTCTATCGATGATTTAATGATGACAATTTATTAATAGGTGTATTTACTTAGGAAGGTATTTATTTTCTTCCGATACACAAATCCCGACACTCTATTCCGATAACGACTTTCTATCATAAAAATGGAGCAATCATAACCGCTTACTACCTGTAGGATATTACTGTTGATGTATGCTTAAGGTATCATGGTAGGTGGATTTTTACGAAAAATGCGAAAAAATTTTTTTGCTGTTCAAATTGAGGTAAATAGAGATAAATATTTTGAGACTGAGATAAATATTTTGCTAAAAGAATGGGGGAAAAGGCTGTTTTAATTTTTAAGATAAATAAAAAAACTATTTTTGAATATGATTAACCCCTTACGGCGCGTTGACACCTCTAATTATTAAAATTTACCGCCAGTTGTCACGTGTAATGCGAATTGCGGTGTGATGTTTCATCTGTGCACGCGAACTGTTCTCCATCTGGTTGTTTCATCGCAAGTTAGCTTTCGTTCTTGTCAAATTTTCTTTATGTCAGCTCGAAAACGTCTTGCCCATTTTCGTCTTCGAAGAAGCCGAAGTGACGGAAATCTGGTGGAACCAACAGGTTCAGCGTCAAACAAGATCTTTGGCACTGAGCGACCGTTGGTCGCACTTTAACCGAGAAGAATGGTTGAAGGAACTCGAAGTAGTCACACGAAATTGCTTTAGAACGGACGCGATTCCAAAACTTCTACAACAAGAGAGTCAAGCGCAGATGTAGATGTAGAAAATGTAGACCTCGAGATTTCCTCTTTTTGGCTTCAAGAGGCATGGTTTCAAAAATGTCTGGAGAACGAAAAAGCCTAAACTTAAGCGACATAATACCAATGCCGCCGACGAAATCACGGTAGCTTCTCGGACGATTTCACAGCGATGGGTTTCCGCGCCAGAATTGTAGTTGTCTGCTTATTTCAAGTTGTCATAACCCATTGTCGTGGTGAACTGACCCATGTCGACATCTGTCATTGCGGAAGGGATTTTTAACACCTTTTCATACCAATTTCATAAAAGGTTTTTCGTCTTTTTCTCGATAAAAATAAAACTGCATATAATGATGAACATTTTTAGTTCGTTTACGGGCGTCTTCCGACGGAATTGGCTGAAAATCGGCGGGTATGTTCCAGGATACCTCCTTCGGAAAAGGGTATCGGGCTTTGTTTAATTTCGCTTCCGTTTCAAAGTTATGGCCTCTTTAGTAGAAGGAAGCGTCCGCATTGAAAATATCAAAGTTTAGGAGGGTGAAGAAAAAACCCAAACCACATCTGGAAAATCGTAAACACCCTTTTTGAGGGTGATGTGTGAGAAAACATTTCCGATGTAAATCGCGTCGCTAAGATAACTCACGCGCGAAAGCGAACCAGTTTAAGCAAAGCAGTGTTTCTGGGTATTTCTTTTAATATCACTGCGACAATACCTTTTTAGAAAACTTCAAAGATATAATTGTATTCTATAACTATTAAGCTTACAGAAAATGTATAGGTTGAGGGGGTTTTCTTTCAAAGCGCCAGCGTAAGAGCGCGATTTCCAAACACTGTCAATCCACCTACCATGATACGCTAAATGAAATTGATAATAAGAGGATTGAAATTTACCTTTCTAGGGCGGCTTTCAGCTCAGCCATCTGAAGGAAAAACATGAAGTTTGATCATCATAACTTTTCTATGGTAATGCGGAAGAATCCATTCCGCATTTAGCTAATGTCGTGCATGCGAAAAACATCTATGCTTCACTAAGACTGTATTTGAAACAGGAAATAATCACAAATTGAGATAAGAATTAAGAGATTTCCCTGAATGAATAAATTGTGCTAATCTCAGTCAGTCATTTGTTTAAAAATAAAATAATGAAAAGGTGAAACTCATCCCGTGTAAAACATTCTGATAGGCCAGTAGGCAAAAGAGAGGAATTTTCAGAATAGGAAAAAGTTAAAAAGAAGGATGAAAAACGAAGATTCTGTTGTGGGAAGTGAAGTGACAAAGATTTCGCATTACATTTATTGCAGCGAATAAATTGTTTTAACCTATCTAGTTTCAATACTGTCGTCTCGATATCGAAGGCCTTGCCGTATTCTAAGCTTTTTCTCTTTCCCATCAAAGTTTGATATGAAAAACTACAGAAACGGATTAAATCTCAAATGTATCGTTTACAAAAATGACCGGTTTAGCAAAATTTTTAAGGGTTTGGCTATAGACGCTTTTCATAATTGGCTGCCAATTGAAATTCTTTTGTAAGTACCCCAATCATCCTAACTAACCTTGTCTTTAAATTGATAATTCAAAAGAATTTTAACTCGCAAACGAAGTTAGTGAGGCTAGTTTAAATGCACACAAAAGAACTTTTAATTGGCAGTCATTTATAAAAAGGATATATTGAGAAGTGCGAAATAATACGAAGAGTTAAAACTTCAAATTGTTATTAAAGCAATTTAAGTAAAATCGCTCTTTTGTCTGTGAACGCCCTGACCTAATAGTATTGCACTACAGGTAACTCAATTTTTCACAATATCTTTACCTACGCTTAAGTCAGGTTTCACTTATCCATTCTGTAATTGTCTATTTAGTTAAAATAACTTCCATGAAGAATCAAGCAGTAAAGACCCTACCTCGTCTTTGTTTTCATTAATGAAAACTCTCTGAAAAGCAGCAAAAACCAAAATTACTTAAAGCAATGCAACTTATAAACATTTCACAGAGTATACTCTCGACCTCAGTATTTTATAAAAGAAGTCGAGAATCAAAAATTATTATCATAATAACGTCAACGTGAAACCTGTGGTAGCTAGGTTAAGGAGGTTCACAATAGTTTTAGGACTGGGTTCTAGCCGGGCGAATCACGCACGTCACTCGCGGGATTTCCGTAGTTCAACAGCTGTCTATTATTTATTTTAATATAGATAGGGCCCTGCGCGCGCTCTGATTGGGCGAAAACCCATGTTTTATCAGAGTATAAAACATAGAAAAAGCGTGTTTTATTTTGTTTTTCGCCACATTACCTCTATATCATAAAACAAATGAAGAATTCTAAGCCGTGTATTGCACTGCGATAAAACACTCCGGACATTTGAGAACACTCGAGAAATGTAGAAAACACGAGCCCGCGGCTCGTGTTTTGTACATTTCCCTCGTGTTCTTAAATGCCCGTCGAGTTTTATCACAGTGTAATACACGGCTTAGGCTTCTTTATTTGTTTAATAAGGCGGGTGTAAATAGTTTCCAGCACTTTCCAACAGTTATTTAGCATCACTTGGTAACGAGTGGTAGTACTGATCCGTCAAAGTATTACTCTTGGAAAGTGCTGGAGACTTTGCCAGCCACCTACGTTTATTAACTTGTTTATTCATTTATTGATTGAGATGTTTATTCATTCATTTTGAATACAACTTTCTCGATATTTTTTACTTACTCTGATAATGATAAGATAATAAAGTAGTAATCATAACCAAAGACCACATGGCTGTTAAGCATGTAACCATACAATATGGAAACTCAATTCAGTGTAAGAGGTTCAACAATTACCTTGTTTTAACAAGATGGCTGATGGTTGCTGCAGATGGCTGAGCAAAACTGTCACTTAAAAGTGACAGTTTTGTCCAGCCATCTGCAGCAGAACATAATCAAGAAAGGATTAGTGTAGAAGTTTAACTATTTTTTGGAAAAGAAATCGATTCTGTATTGAAGCAATCCCGCGAGCATGCGTGAGGGGAACACAGTGATAAAGCTGATAAAACACGAGCATCATCAACGAGAAAAGAATAACTAATTAGCAAAGAAAGACTCTTTGTAATGGATAAATGAAATTTTGAAGCGTAAGGAAAATGATTTACACGACATAAAGTGCTGTTTATCAGTTCCAATGTAGTTAGTTTTCAAGTTATTTTTAAGACATAATGGCATCCTTTTAGCAAAACCTCTTATTGCTTTAGTAAGAACTGGTGCATTGACCATTATTGCTTGATACGGTATTAGCCCGTTTATTGAGGCTTGTATGGGCACTTTTGCTACATTTAGGACCGGTACATATAATATTGAGAGTGCGCGCTTTTAGCCTGTAAAGCGTACATGCGTTGTAAATTTTAATAATAATAGTAATAAAAACTATCGTAATTGGTACTCGTAGCTTTTTTCAGTCCCTTTTACGGTCTGTTAAGTTTCGAACTTACGGAAATTTGTTGCAAACATTGCTTAAAAAGCTAACAATATCCTGCAGGTTACAAAATTGAAATCATCTCCATAAGAAACGCGTAAAGAAGAAGATATTGAAATATTACTCACTTATTCTCTAAGACTTTGTATTTCACTGAAAAGAAGAAAATAAATTTCCCTTTATTGAGTTTAAACAATATCTCTTTGTTTCTTATATCTGCTTTTAGTTCGTGCAATTAGTTTATTCTTTTCGATGGGCGTAGTCAGAGATAGAATTTCTAATTTCTGAGCAAATTGTATTTTAAAAGAGGGCAACTTTATAAAAACTGGTCTCGGTCAATTTTTTTTTTTTTCACGTTATACGTTCGTGGATCTCTTCTTAATTTAGGTCCACAAACTTGCAAAATAAAATTAATGGCCAAAATTTCAGCCTGAACCTACGGTGGCTTCAAAGGGACTACTTTCTTGCGACTTAGCTGCGACGTTCCTGCTACTTTCCTGCGACTTAGCTGTTACTTTCTTGCGACTTAGCTGCGACTTAGCTGCGACTTGCTACTTTCTTGCGACTTAGCTGCGACTTTC